AGACGCTCCATTACATCAGACAGGGCCTCACCACCCTACTTGTTCCCGCCACAATCTCTGCCGCTGTCGTGACGTCATCACTCGTCTCAACGCGAGGCTCCACCATTGGCTATGGCGTTACCGTCTGCTATTTGAATTCGACATTCCTGATTGGTCAGTAAAAGATAAGATTTTTAGTTTATGTTTGTTCTATATGTTTTATATCAGGTTTAAAAAATTTCACGCCAATATTACTGATTCAGGTGTTTTGCTAGTCATGACCATGTCACTAATTACCTGTCTGTTTCAGGTATGTCACTTGTCATGTCATTGTCACTAATTCACCTTTTTCAGGTGTATTTGTTTGTCTTACGCATTTTACTAAACCTGTTTCTGGTGTGTCACTTGTCATGCCATGGCACTAATTACATGTCTGTTTCAGGTGTGTCACTTGTCATGTCACTAATTACCTGTTCAAGTGTGTCACTTGTCATGCCAATGGCACTAATTACCTGTTTCAGGTGTGTCACTTGTCATGTCACTAATTACCTGTTTCAGGTGTGTCACTTGTCATGCCAATGGCACTAATTACCTGTCTGTTTTAGGTGTGTCACTTGTCATGCCAATGGCACTAATTAACCTGACCAACCTGACGATGTTCGCCATCACCGTGGTGAAGATCTACCGAGTGGGCAAGCTCCAGGTCTACGACAGTTCCAGACTTGACGACCACAGGAACCTGGGGGTCTACGTCAAACTTTCCTCCCTGACTGGCGCTTTCTGGACCCTCGCCATCATAGCAGAGGCGGCGGACGTGACCATTCTAAGGTGGGTAGTGGTGGTAGAGGCGGTTTTATGTGGGTAGTGGTGGTAGAGGCAGTTTTAAGGTGGGTAGTGTTGGTAGAGGAGGTTTTAAGGTGGGTAGTGTTGGTAGAGGAGGTTTTAAGGTGGGTAGTGTTGGTAGAGGCGATGTGGGTGGTGTTGGTAGAGGCGGTTTTATGTGGGTAGTGGTGGTAGAGGCGGTTTTATGTGGGTAGTGGTGGTAGAGGCGGTTTTAAGGTGGTAGTGTGGGTAGAGGCGGTTTTAAGGTGGGTAGTGGTGGTAGAGGCGGTTTTAAGGTGGGTAGTGGTGATAGAGGCGGTTTTAAGGTGGGTAGTGTTGGTAGAGGAGGTTTTAAGGTGGGTAATGTTGGTAGAGGAGGTTTTAAGCTGGGTAATGTTGGTAGAGTCGATTTTAAGGTGGGTAGTGGTGGTAGAGGCGGTTTTATGTGGGTAGTGTTGGTAGAAGAGGTTTTAAGGTGGGTAGTGTTGGTAGAGGCGGTTTTATGTGGGTAGTGTTGGTAGAAGAGGTTTTAAGGTGGGTAGTGTTGGTAGAGGCAGTTTTAAGGTGGGTAGTGTTGGTAGAGGCAGTTTTATGTGGGTAGTGTTGGTAGAGGCGATTTTAAGGTGGCAGTGTTGGTAGAGGCGATTTTAAGGTGGGCAGTGTTGGTAGAGGCGATTTTAAGGTGGGCAGTGTTGGTAGAGGCAGTTTCAAGGTGGTAGTGTTGGTAGAGGCAGTTTCAAGGTGGTAGTGTTGGTAGAGGTAGTTTCAAGGTGGTAGTGTTGGTAGAGGCAGTTTCAAGGTGGTAGTGTTGGTAGAGACAGTTTCAAGGTGGTAGTGTTGGTAGAGGCAGTTTCAAGGTGGTAGTGTTGGTAGAGGCAGTTTCAAGGTGGTAGTGTTGGTAGAGGCAGTTTCAAGGTGGTAGTGTTGGTATAGGCAGTTTCAAGGTGGTAGTGTTGGTAGAGGCAGTTTCAAGGTGGTAGTGGTGGTAGAGGAGGTTTTAAGGTGGGTAGTGTTGGTAGAGGCGATTTTAAGGTGGGCAGTGTTGGTAGAGGTAGTTTCAAGGTGGTGGTGTTGGTAGAGGCAGTTTCAAGGTGGTAGTGGTGGTAGAGGAGGTTTTAAGGTGGGTAGTGTTGGTAGAGGCGATTTTAAGGTGGGCAGTGTTGGTAGAGGAGGTTTTAAGGTGGGCAGTGTTGGTAGAGGCGATTTTAAGGTGGTAGTGTTGGTAGAGGCAGTTTCAAGGTGGTAGTGTTGGTAGAGGCAGTTTCAAGGTGGTAGTGTTGGTAGAGGCAGTTTCAAGGTGGTAGTGGTGGTAGAGGCAGTTTTAAGGTGGTAGTGGTGGTAGAGGCAGTTTTAAGGTGGGTAGTGTTGGTAGAGGAGGTTTTAAGGTGGGTAGTGTTGGTAGAGGAGGTTTTAAGGTGGGTAGTGTTGGTAGAGGAGGTTTTAAGGTGGGTGGGTAGTGTTGGTAGCAGCGATTTTAAAGTGGGTAGTGTTGGTAGAGGCGATGTGGGTAATGTTTGTAGAGGCGGTTTTAAGTTGGGTAGTGTTGGTAGAGGTTTTAAGGTGCTTAGTGTTGGTAGAGGAGGTTTTAAGGTGGGTAGTGTTGGTAGAGGCGGTTTTAAATGTGGTTAATACTGACAACGGGCGGGTGACAACTGAAATACAATCAAACCTTCTAATACTCTCAGACATGTACATTTTAATGCAGCAATAATTAAACCATTGTTTGACTGCAACTTTTTTTTTGTCCCAGGTTTTTCTCGAATGTTCTCAACGGTCTACAGGGCGTCTTCATCTTCCTGTCTTTTATTTGCAACAGACGAGTCCTCAATCTCTACTTGGTCTGGGCGGGACTCGAACCCTGGCCCAACGTCTCGGGGAGTAAAATTAAAACAACATCATCAAGCCTCAAGTATTAAAACAGTCAAGCTTCGAATTGTATCTTATGTTAAAGCTAATATCATGATTTTCTTTAAAAACTACTCAAAAGTATTTAAAATATTTCTTTTAAACTTATCACGTTTATAATAATCGCAAGCTTATGGATATTATAAGAAAACATTATATATATATCTGTATACTTTCATGAGTTCATAAAACTTTTTTTTTCTTGTCGTCTACAACTAATTTAACTACCATTTGTATTTCTCTATTGTCCACAGTCTTTAGTGAGAACTAAAAAGAAATTTGATGACATTTTCAGAACATATTCGATTTAGAATTATAGCTGTGCTTATTTCTTTGCAACCTTATTAAAAAAGTATGTTGTAGTTTTTCGTATCATAATATTTATGAAGTCCATTCTTATTTTTGACATTCTTTATTAAAGTGCAGCTACAGTAAAATAAAAAAAAAAGCCAACGTCTTCACGAACGTCCAGATCCCCCCCCCCCCCGCTCCACCCGAAGTGTAATCCAATCCGCCGACGAACAACAAAATATTGCACAATAGCTACACCTACCCGGTAAGGCTATAACAAATACCTTGGGATAATGTTTCTACAAATAACAACACCCCCTCCCCCCTGTCACAATGTATCGCACTGTAACACGTCTCTGTGTCACAGCATAGCAGCACCCCTACAACAAACCACAATCATGAGAGTGGAGCCACTAAGAATCACAAACACACCACAACTATTGGGTTCTTCTCTTGAGGGATATGCTGGTCAACACAATATTTAACGAACGATACAACATACTTAATAACATTAATGATGATACTAAATAATAATAGTTATATATATATATATATATATATATATATATATATATATATATATATATATATATATATATATATATATATATTGTGACCAACTTAGGTCTAGTAATGTTTTATTTTTAGTTTGACATTCTTATAATACCATATATGGTTTGTGGTGCAACCACCGGTTTTTTTCCACTGTCTTACTAAGAGAGTCTTAGACTCAGTAATATTCCATCGAGAGATGATTGATTGTTTCAGACCAGATGACCACACCAACCAATGGTCTTACGATCTGAAGGTGACCTTCCATGTTACCTAAGTCTATATATAGATCGCCCACAGGTATCTCGAGGCAGTCCATTTTGACCAGTTGAATGTGAGAGAGCTTAAGTCCTGAGTGTGCTATGTATTATTAAGTTGTTTAAGTATCCTAGTATTATATTACTTGTGGCCAAGTGATTCTTGATGCTATAGCAGTGTTATGTGACCTGTGGCTATTTTTATAAAGTATTAGAATCTGTGATAGTATTTATTCTTACGCTTTGTAAGTTGGGTTTTGTTATTTCTAAACTAAATATTTTATCTTGTTTAACCTAGTGTTCTGCCACAACTGTGTTCACTTATTAAAGGTTGTATGCAGATTGAATGAGTTGTTAACTTCAATAGTTTCACTAGTTTTCCCTAGACCTCGAAATCGAGCCCTAGTGAGTTGTTGAGTTAGTTTTCATTCATTTAGGCTTTAGGTCATTTGCATATAACCCCAAAAAAGAATCCGGGAGCGTTCACCATCTATCTGGCTGGTAGATAGGTGTCCGTTACAATATATATATATATATATATATATATATATATATATATATATATATATATATATATATATATATATATACATATATATATAATATATATATACTACACAAATTACAATACACAGTACTTAAAACACTCCACGCCCTCCTCCTAACCCACACGTTAACAAACCTCCACACACCCTATCACACACTCTGTCACCAGTCAATTGACAATCCTCACGTGAACACCTCTCGCTCCACACACTCAACCAAGGGCTACAACTACATACAAAAAAATAGTACCTGTCAATCGACACACAACACCACACACACGCGCAATCAGGGAACGCTACATGTAAGGGACGTAACACAACAACGAAATCAAAACAAAATTCTGGCAAAAATCTTGGCCCAAGACCAAACCCAACTTTTCTCTTCTCCTGTGTAGTGCCCTGCACTATGTGTAGCCGTCTAACAACTTCGTTAAGAGTACACGAACTTTCCGCTTAAGAACATGCAGGTAACATAAACTCCATATACTGACGCCCCACCCGTCTAGCTATGCGGGTGACACCCTACTGCATTGGGTGTCACCCCCCCCCTTCCCCACCCGTCGTACTATTAGCTGCATTACGCCGTGGCTCATCAATAAATCAGGCCGTCGTCTAGCTAGTATCGACACCACGCCTGTGTACTTTTATCAACAAAGGAAACCAAAACAGTTAAATAGGAGGCATGGCTGTTTTGTGGATATTTTTATGCAGCCTACGGCCTTCTGATTCGTACAGAAAACGTAAGTAACAATTTTAAAGATGTATTAGCAATTTATTACAAGTAATCTTATATCTAACCAGTATTATTTTTTTTTAAATCCTATATTACATTTCAACTAAATACATAAATTTTCATTATTTACGCGAGGATAATTGAATTAACTGCAAAAAAGTTTTGCCGAATTAACTTTTTATTAATGGGAATGAAATAGTTTAGTAAAACCGACACGAATTAATATGAAAGACATCGTTTCCAGATTGTTCTATACCATTCTATAAAGAAAATCGTGCACTCTATTTTGTTTCATTAATAAAACTGTGTTCTTGAATAATAACAGATAATCGTTTTCCCATTAACATTAATATGCCAATTAGTATAATAGAAAATAAAAATTATGGATGTAAAGTAAATACAGTATCTGTTTATTTTTTGCACGTGTTCAGTGAAGCGTGACCACAGACATGCCGACCGTTGAGGAAAGGAACAAGAAAGTTCTGGCACTTCTCAAGCCTGGGGACTTGGTCAAGTTTTACAGGACGTTGTACACACACTGGGGGGTCTATGAAGGTGGGTACACACTGGGGGGGTCTATGAAGGTGGGTACACACACTGGGGGGGTCTATGATGGTGGGTTTACTGGGGGGGGGTCTATGAAGGTGGGTACACACTGGGGGGTCTATGAAGGTGGGTACACACTGGGGGGTCTATGAAGGTGGGTACACACTGGGGGGGGGGGGGTGTCTATGAAGGTGGGTACACACTGGGGGGTCTATGATGGTGGGTACACCACACACTGTGGGGGGGGGGGGGGTCTATGGAGGTGGGTACACACTGGGGGGTCTATGAAGGTGGGTACACACACTTGGGTTCTATGAAGGTGGGTACACCACACACTGGGGGTCTATGAAAGTGAGTACACACTGGGGGGGGGGGGGGTCTATGAAGGTGGGTACACACACTGGAGGGTCTATGGAGGTGGGTACACCACACACTGGGGGGGGGTCTATGAAGGTGGGTACACCACACACTGGGGGTCTATGAAGGTGAGTACACACACACTGTGGGGGGTCTATGAAGGTGGGTACACACTGGGGGGGGGTCTATGAAGGTGGGTACACACACTGGGGGGGTCTATGGAGTTGGGTACACACTGGGGGGTCTATGAAGGTGGGTACACTACACACTGGGGGGGGGTCTATGAAGGTGGGTACACACTGGGGGGGTCTATGAAGGTGGGTACACACACTGGGGGGGGGTCTATGAAGGTGGGTACACACTGGGGGGTCTATGAAGGTGAGTACACACACTGGGGGGTCTATGAAGGTGGGTACACCACACACTGGGGGTCTATGAAGGTGGGTACACCACACACTGGGGGGTCTATGAAGGTGGGTACACCACACACTGGGGGGTCTATGAAGGTGGGTACACCACACACTGGGGGGGGTCTATGAAGGTGAGTACACACTGGGGGGGGGGGGTCTATGGAGGTGGGTACACACTGGGGGGTCTATGAAGGTGGGTACACCACACACTGGGGGTCTATGAAGGTGGGTACACCACACACTGGGGGGTCTATGAAGGTGAGTACACACTGGGGGGGGGGTCTATGAAGGTGGGTACACACACTGGGGGGTCTATGGAGGTGGGTACACACTGGGGGGTCTATGAAGGTGGGTACACCACACACTGGGGGGGGGGGGGGTCTATGAAGGTGGGTGCACCACACACTGGGGGGTCTATGAAGGTGGGTGCACCACACACTGGGGGGGGGGGTCTATGAAGGTGGGTACACACATTGGGGGGTCTATGAAGGTGAGTACACACTGGGGGGGGGGTCTATGAAGGTGGGTACACACACTGGGGGGGGGGGGGCTATGAAGGTGGGTTCACTGGGGGGGGGGGTCTATGAAGGTGGGTATAAACACTGTGGGGGGGTCTATGAAGGTGGGTTCACACATTGGGGTGAGGGGCCTCAAATACCAAACATCACCCTTACCTTATTGAGTATCTATTATAATTCTCAGGAACTGTTACGTCTTTATTTACAGGTAACGGTAAGGTGATCAACGTGTCGGGGACGTTTCTGGATAAACTTGAGGATCGCGTGGAGATCAAACGTGAAGATTTCCTCAAGATTGCAGACGGCGATGAGACCAGTGTAGGCAATGAGATGGACGCCTATTGGAAGTGAGTGCTCATTTCTGCTCTTTTGTCACGCCTAACACTGTGCCATGTGTAGAGAAATTCAACTTTTATTTAAAACTATCATCAAAGCCATGAGTTAAAATATAAAAATTCATTCTTTAGGCTTCACTTAGCCACTGAATGTCACTCTTATTTTGTAACGTGTTCAAAATTTCCTTAATTGTTCGCCCTGAGATTAATAGACTGATTAAGACCCAATAAAATGGTAGATATACCTGTTACAGAAAGACAGTAATGTTAAAGCGTGTACAACATGGATTTGTTCCTCAGACCCCTGGATGTTAACGTGATACTGGCGAGGGCAGTCAAACAAATCGGGCAGGTGTTCTACAATGTGTTCTGTCACAACTGCGAACATTTCGCCAAGTGGTGCCGGTACGACCGGAACCAGAGCAGCCAGGTACAATCTGTTTTATTGTAAGGTCATAGGGAGGGGAGGGGGGGGGGGTGGGGGGGGGGGGGGTTAAGCTCATCGTTGCTAATCCGAAAAGTCTCGAGTTCGAAACCCCGGGCAGATGAGGTTCAATAGCTAGGGACAGCAATTCTTCTAGAAGAGACAATTCTAAAATCAAACCTTTTAGTTTGTTCTTGATTGGACAAAGGCTATTGAAGCAAATCCAAAAATAAAAGCAGGCTAAAATCGGAGTTAATTGCCTTTATAGCGCAGAACACGTTGACACGTAATACCTAATTGTGGTGGAGGGAATTCAGAAGAAGAAAGAGGTAAGGTTATTGGATTCTTCTAAAATACGATGTTTTCCCGATGAAGGATTCTTGGTAAAGCCAAAACCGATACAGCACGCCTATAATGTCTTTCTGAAATCGGATTCTTGGTTAAGTTTGAGCTTTTTGGAATCGGATTTTTTTATCGGATTCCTATTAAAGACGGCCATATTTTCTTATTGGTTTCATTTTACATGGCCATTCTCCAATATAAAAAACAAACAATCAGAAAACTTTAAAACTTATTTATCGAATTATTGTTTTGAAAACAAATATTGCCTTAATGCATATGCAAGTATTTAACAATTTGTTCTGAAATAAAATAAAGTAGTATCATCAAAGTTGTAACATGAATTGTGTAACATCTAATGTGTAATATGAAATGTGTAACATATAATGTGTAACATGAAATGTGTAACATCTAATGTGTAACATGAAATGTGTAACATCTAATGTGTAACATCTAATGTGTAACATGAAATGTGTAACATTAATTGTGTACATCCCCAGGCTGAAATGTTCGTACCTCATGAAGTCTGTGAGCTGATGGTTGACAGCATTGAACATCAACAAATGAAGAAATACAGCATCAGTCCTGGTTCAAGCTATGAGCTCACAGGTGAGTTACAGACTTCAGCTCAGAGATTACAAGTGGCAACATATTAAAGCTCTGAGCTAACACGTGAATACACACTTCAGCTCTGAGCTAAGAATTTAGCACATAATAAGGTTAAGCTGTGAGCTAACAGGTAAGTACAAACTTAGCTCAAGCTATCAGCTAACTGATGGGTTTAGACTTAAGCTATGAGCTAAACGGTTAAGAGATGACGTAAACTCTGAGCTAACAGGTGAATGCAACATTTTATTTGGTTAACTCATAAAATTTTGGTTTGTTCACTCTTGTTTTGTGTTTTGGTTGTGGGCTGTTATATTCTTAAAATTCGTGCAGATTATTTTATTTAGCGTAGTAAACAATAATTATTTTAAACGAATGAAGTAATTCTAACTCAATTTTTTAAACTTTTGTTACCAGAGGAAGCGATGAGGAAATCACGCTGTTGTACCTGCTTATAACATTTACATTTGGTTACTGAAGACTTGACTTCACACGCGATCTGTACTAAAGCTGGTACACATTTTTAGTTTTGCGAGAAACACGGGGAAACACGGAGACACACGGAGAAACACGAATTCTGATGTATAAGATATCGTGTTGTAATACGAACACTTGACAGATGTTTTTCTCAAATTATACAAGTACTCGGAAATTTAAAAAAAAAATCTAAATACAAGGGTGTAACTGTGATTTTAGGTTTAACATTTTTATTTAATTTACCAAAGTTGTAAAACAGTTTTAAATTTTTATTAATATCCTTTAAAAGTTAGAAGTAACTATTTTAAATTGATTAAACGCTACTGAAGACAATAGATCCTACACCAAAGCTAAGCGTCAGTTCTAAATTTAGAGCGACCATAGTGTTGCGATTTATTTTTTGTCGACAAATGCTATCGACACCGTGTACATAACTCGTGTTAAAGTGCTAGCTAGCACTCTAAACACTTTTACAGTATGTTATATGGAAATAACTTGTTTACTTGTTCATGTATCTATTCACACTATGTATATAAATAGACTATATCCTTATTTGAAGTGTTGTGAACTTTATGAAAAATTTAAAGTTTTAAATATTCTATTGTGGTTCTAAGGGCCACAGCTGAAAAGGTTCTGCCAAAACAATTTTTTTATGGGGCATATTTAAGATGTTGCCAAATATTTAACTGAATGCCTTTTTTATTTGATTTTATTTGATTTTCCCATGGTATTTGTAAATCTTATGTTCTCAGATATTTTAAAAATGTTTTGGGTCTCAAATAAAGAATCAATGTTGTACTACACGTGTTAAGTTCCTTCTTAGTTTTTAAACAAAAGGATAGTGATTTTAAATTCTGTAAACACCGCTAATGTATTAACATATACTAATACCTAAGACACACATGCGATCACAAATACACAAATACACTCACAAAGACATATTCATATATATATATATATATATATATATATATATATATATATATATATATATATACGCCTACATACAATAAAGTGCGTTTCGTTGTTTACAAACTGTTTCCCAATGGCACACTATTGATGTGGCGTCACCATACGGCAATAATGTTGTACTCTACTATCCATGAATGGGTGACGTATAACCACGCAAACATCCTTGAATGGGTGACGTATACCCTTGTACGTCTGGTTTGTTATTGTTACGAGACACACCAACCTCCCTAGCGTAGGTGCACTTTAGTTGCCAGACCTTGAACCCATTTAAAGACGTCCACTGTAGTCGACACTCCCCGAACGGGTAGGTTATGCACCAATGATTTCAGGACAAGCGAGCTAGCATACAGGGTTGGTCCGTTGTGTTAAGGAGTGTGCTAGGGGGTGGATTGTAATGCGACGTTACACACATACTTTAAGACAAACACACAGACGACTAATTCGCATACAAAAACACGCCAGACACAAACACACGCACGCTAAAAATTGCCAAATCGATTAGCGATAATTATCGATTTTTGAAATCGATTTTCTGAAAAAAAAGTCAATACGCCACAGACTTTTCGTCGAAACTTAATGTTGGAGAGATTAAACTGCTTTTAGTTCTGATACTATCTAAAATTTAACTTTATGCATGGTTGAGGGTGGGAATAATTTATCCGGAAATCTAAAAGAGCTTTAGAAGAAAAGTGCACACCAATGTATAAAGTGAGAGAAGGGTCATCCATAAATGTCGTCACGCTCTTTTGGACGATTTTTACCTCCCCCCTCCCCTCCGTCACACATCGTCGCAAAAAGCCAGACCCCCACCCCTAAAATGACGTCACACCTCAGCCTACAAACCACCCTCAAAATTGGTGTTGCATTTTTCTTAAAACATCGATATTTTTCCAAAATCTTGTCTGAACTCTGTCTATATTTATATTACAAATTGTTAAAACAGTTTTCTAAAACCCGATATAACGTCTAAAATTAGTATTCTAGCGAGGCTTTTTTATAATGCAAAAGTGTGACGTCGAACCATCTGACCCCCCCCCCCCCCACCCATCACACACCGTCAAAAAATTACGGACCCCCCTCCCCCTTCTACAAATACGTTTACTGTGGTAATTCCCCTTGAATTAATACTTTCACCAAATAAAACATTTTTTTGCGCAATTTCCATTCTGGAGAATTGCGTTTATTAACTCGTCATTTCTGGGAATGTATGGATGGATGAATGTATGGATGTATGAATGTGTGTCCGGGCTTTAAGTCGTATCTCCTCCTCAACGAAGCAATATCGATGACTAGTTACAAAAGCAATTATGTTAAGCAAGTTACGAGGATGAACATAGGCCATAAAAATTCAGAGTTTCTTTCATGGATTTCCCGAAAAAGCCAAAAAAACCTAAAAAATGCAGTTTTTGGCCCATATCTCGGCAACCAGACCACTTAGCGACTTGAAACATGTACCAATCGATTCCTGCCATAATTTAGAACAATATTGCCGAAGAAAGTTTTCAAAAATATCCTTTCGTTCGGTCACACATTTTTTTTTTAATTAATTAAAAATTGGGCCGAATTAGTAGGCATGTTTTTCCAACCACACCACACGCGTCATCACGTTCAATAGCTGCGCCATCACGTTCAATGGCTGCGACATCACGTTCGGTAGCTAGGCGCGCAATGGTTTTTAGTCATGTTACTCTATTGTAAATAAAACATGTAAAATACTGAAAAAAAAAATTAATAAAAAAACGTTTTAATAACTAACCAATGGTTTTACTAACCCTACTCTTGATTTACGCTACGACAGAGCTATTTTTAGATAACATAAGGAAATTGCGCTAAAATTGTCACTAGACTTTTTTTTAATTACTTGTTTAAATGCCTGTGTGTGTTTTTTAAATCTAATTTTCAAAGAGAACGCAATAAAAAAGGGTTTGAAAAAATTAAATTAGATATAACATTAGTCATTTTAATCAAATTTAAGCTTGACTGTCTTAATACTTGAGGCCTGATGATGTTGTTTTGATTTTACTCCCCGAGACGTTGGGCCAGGGTTCAAGTCCCGCCCAGACCAAGTAGAGTTTGAGGACTCGTCTGTTGCAATCATAACTAGAAATAAGTAAGTAGTATTGACCATTACACCATACAGTCATATGTGCTTCATCTTACGTGTGTTGTTTATAAATATTTGAACCGAAACATTAGCCTGGTAATCTGGTAGTCTGAACATACTTATTTTAAAGTTTTAACAAAGTTCTTTTTTTTCTTAACCTTCGGTATAATTTATAGAGTATGCTTGCAAGTTTCCAAGAAAATTTATCCGAGACACATCCATTAATTAGTTTCGTTATATTTTATACAGATAATTTCCATCTTCAGTATCAATACATTTTGAAAAAAAAATCATTCTTTTTTTTTCATAACAGTAACGAAAACTCTAAAATAGAATCCAGAAACAATAAAACTTTTCCCGTACCCAAATGCGCATTTCTATCGGTACAAAATAACATCACTATTTTCTCAACAATAAAACAGCAATGATGACCAAACAGTCTAGCCTCGATTTGGAAGCGACCACTCCCCTCACCGTAAACAAATAAATAAATAAATCGTTTAATAAATATTTACAACATCTTCGGTCCAGTCACAGGTAACAGCCAGACAGACTACCTGACCCAGCACACGCCACAAATAGAACACATCAGGTACAGCACACGCCACAAATAGAACAGATCAGGTACGACAGTTTTCCCTGTGGCTAGTCTGGGTATTCTGCGTGGCTGCTAAAAATATAAACCACATCATTTCGACCAATAAATGCAAATCTTCCTGCTTCTAACTTTGGCTGGTGAATTTTTAAAAATTCTCAAACCATGATGTAAAAAGCAATGAGATTACATCAGAATGTGACTGCTCATAATTTCCATGACAGAATAAACATTGATTGAGCGAAACTAATAATTCAACTTAAAATATTTAAAATCAATACTGCAATTTGGGAAAAAACCAAAACGCCATTTGTCGCTATGCCCTTGTCAATGTAATCTACATTTTTTCCCAGAAATTTCAATAGCTAGAAGTTTCACTTTTGCTTAAACGACTGAGACGGGTAGCCTAACCGTTCGTCCGATGCTCTGAAAGTTTATGTTGCTATTTCAATAGATATTATATTGCGGGAAACTATACTACTAATTATTCTACTTATATATATATATATATATATATATATATATATATATATATATATATATATATATATATATATATATATATATATATATTCCTCTACAATACCAATACATTGACCTAACATCTTTCCCTATCAGGAAAACTATCAACTATTTCTGAAAACCTAGAAAGACACGTTCGTCTGACTAGACCCTCACTATAACTCACCCTTCCCTCCACGTAATACGCATTTCTGTCCTGACGAAACTACCCGAAGAGATTTCCTCAAAAAGAAAACCTGACCCAGTGATAAAGGAAACAGTCTTTTCTCGATTTGGCAGCGACCAACCTCCTCACCATTATAGCATCTACGGTACAGGTAAGGTCACTCACGGCTACCAGACCCAGCATAAAAACTCCAGAAATAAAACAAATTATTTTCTTTCATTTTCACATGCACATTTTGTGCTTGGCTACTAAGAAACCAAGCCACATTGTGTCTGCCAAATGAATTTACATTTTCTAGCCCAGTTGTATGTAGCCCATAGGATCTGGTGAAATTAGAGAATTTTCTGGCACTGAGGTAAGACGCAAGGAAATTACATCAGAACATGGCCAACGTGATTATTATAATTTCAGTGACGGAAAAACCTAAGATGATCCATTGCAAACATGAATTCAAATGCAACATATATTTAACTAGTAAAGCGATTCAGGATTAACCTTAACGCCAGCTATCGCCAAGCAAAAAAGGTGTTGTGTGCAGAAATTTCCGATTAATAATCATTGGTATGACCAGGGGCGTAGCGAGGGGGGGGGGGCATGGGGTGCGGACCGCACCGAGTGACACCATTTAGGGGGGTGACACCAAGGCGAAAAATAGCAAAATATATAGAGAAAAACTTGAGCGTGGGGGGGGGGGGTTCAAATCGAAAACTTGAGGGGGGGGTGCAAATCGAAAGTTTGAGGGGGGGGGGGTGCAAATCGAAAACTTGAAAGTTTGTATTCTAAAGCAATGTTACTCAAATGTCAAATAGTATATGAAAAATATCAGACTTATTTTTGTAAAAAAATTAGCATAATATATAATGCAAGAACATAACTGTAGGTAAAGATCTTAACAAAGTATGAAGGCTAGAATTTATTTATTTCAGTTTATTATCTTCAATTAACTTAGGGGTCATCCATAAATGTCGTCACGCTTTTTTGACGATTTTTACGTCCCCCCCAATTCCCTCCGTCACACATCGTCACAAAAAGCCAGACCCGTCCCCCTAAAATGATGTCACATCTCAGCCCACAACCCCCCCCCCCCCCCCCCCCCCCCTCAAAATTGCAGTTTAATTTTTCTTAAAATATGACATTTTTTCCAAAATCTTGTCTGAACTCTGTCATCAAAGAGTATTTTAATCAATTCCTATTACAATTTATTAGAACAGTTTTCTAAAACGCGAAATAACGGCTGAAACTAGTTTTCTAACATTGCTCACCACAAAATTACGGATCCACCAAGTGGCGGAACTATAAAAAAAGGGCCTCCCCGCAGAATTTATTTTTAGGCCCCCATATATATATATATATACAAACACAAAATACGAACATAGGATACTCATTGCTGGCCTGTTCGGGTTTTGAAAAAAAAAGTTTTTTTTCAATTAAAACAAATTACTATATCATGTCATATGTGTGAGTGCATTAGTGTGTTTTGAGAAAATCGGTGGGTTTTTTTTACATCTGCTATAGGGCCTCGTAACATTTAGTCGGACAAAAGAATATAAAACGTGAAAGCTTTGTAGAAGTAATGGTGTCTTGTGTTATGATTATTTTAATGTTTTTTTTTTGGTATTTATTTTATTAATTTTAATGCATCTTTTTTTTTTTCATTTCAGTGGCGGCACTGTAGTTCCGCCCCTGGATCCTCCCCCCCCCCCCCCTTAAGAATGTGACATCATTTATAGACGACCGCTTACTTGAAACTTATTCCAAGAATATTATTTTCGGAATTTTCCGGTGTGATGTCTCTCGCGCATAAGAGATACGGTTACTGGGTTTTTTTTTATAGATAAAAAAACTTCTGTACGTGGCAGTTGTTTATAAGCTTTAAAACCACAAGCCCAGTTCACTGTGGACAACATATGGGTGCCTCTTCACATCGCCTGAAAACATTGAGTGATCTCAGATATCGTAAGCTTCCTTTCAGCATTTTAATGTGTACGATTGGTCTGTAGAATGTAACAAAATACAACCAAACCCTGAAGGGTGATATTCAGAATGTGGAAAGCAATTGTGGTTGTTTTCAGTGTTGATAGATTAATTCACATATGCCTTCTGGACAATTAGCTCAAAAAAAGTTCTTTATAATAATATATAGCTGATATATATAAAAAAAAACTAACCTCAGAAAAATTGACATGATACTTTAATGTGTTCATTTTGATATTTGTTGTTTGTATATTGAAAAGAAAAGATTTTATGATCAACAATTATTTATATAGATACTTTAGCTACTGCTTTTATTACAAAACTCGTAATTTTGGTACTGCTATTTTTTCAAAGTGATAATAAGCTTGAAAATATGTTTTAAATGTATAGGCTGAACCTTAAATCACACAAAGAAGAAATAATATGATCTAATTATATCAACCAGAAAATGAGCAAAGAAAATGATATGAAATACTGCAAATATGAAAATAACTATACCCTCAGATGTAAATTTAGGTGATACTATGGCTTAGATTATGTAGATTAACTAAACCAATATTTTGATGGCATAGTCAAGGTTTTTACTGCTAATTATTTAAATATTTAATTAACACTAATCACTGTCTATAGTCAGAGGCGTAGCGACCCTTCCCGGCGCCCGGGGACAAACTTTTCGATTTGCACCCCCCTCAAGATTTTGATTTGCATCCCCCCTCTCAAACATTCGATTTGCACCCCCCTTCTCAAACCTTCGATTTACACCCCCTCATGATTTCAATTTGCAACCCCCCCCCCCTCAAGATTTCGATTTGCACCCCCCTCAACCGTTCAATTTATTTTTCCAACCCATTTTGGCGCCCCCTAAGGTCGGCGCCCGGGGACATATGTTTCCCCCCCCCCCCCCCCCTCGCTACGCTACTGTCTATAGTTCATATTTTAGCACTGTTGGTGGAGTATATGTCCTTAACATGACCTCAACGACGTGTAACCGACAAAATCAAGTTTGATAATATTCTTAATTTCATGATGTTTTTCGCCTATTCCAAAATTTAAAAAAATATAATAGACACTCTGTCTGAACGAAATAGAAGCTAATAATTCATATGGAAAACGGTATTAATTTAGATATTGCATTTGGCAATTATTTAAATGAAAATCAAACAAAAATAAAGTATAAATAATAAGCCTTTCAATGCATATAAAAATAACACGCTCTTAACTTTAAAGGATTAATAATTTTCAAGGGATAGTACACATTGTGTTTATTGTGTAGACCTTTGATATATTATATAGAAGATTAGTATTGCTTATATCAGTTCATGCTGTTTGTATATCTGTATCAGACGCATATATGTTATTATGCAGCTAAATAGTCCGGATATACTATAAATAACAATAAATCGGGATTTCCCGATCTTTACTATCAATACTAGGTCACTGTATTTTGTCAGTTAAAAATATAATTCTTACATTTATGCTTCCCACTTTTAAGATTTATTTATTGTGGTTTGCAATGGAAATTAACTATTTTTTTAAATTTGCTAATTTTTAAATCTTCTTTTTTCTATTTATATACGTTTTAAAAATAGGCTTGCTGCTACGTAATTTCGGTAAATTCCGTTTCTAAATAAGGGAAAACGGGTAAATCAATTCGAACACAAACAGATCTAGAAGAATCTAGAGCTCTAATGTGCGTAATTAATGTTGATAACAACGTATTTTGTTGATTTCTCTCAACAACCAGCAGGTAATGTCTAATTTTCATAACGCTTATGTTGTTTTTCGTTTTATAACTTTATTCAGGCTAACATTCTAAAATCATTTATTTAACAGGCAATCTATATATTTATTGAAGTCAAACCTAAAGCCGCAAAACTAGAATCTAGATATAAATACTAAATACTAAACTATTGAAACTCTACTAGATCTAGATCTAGATATATGTAGATCTAGTCTAGATCGAGATGTAAGTTTCTACTTCTTACACTTTTAACTGTAGATTTATTTATTCTTTAATACTAGATCTATATCCAATCTATATTATTATATGTAGGGTATTGTGGGTTAAAAGGTGATTACTTTTATTAAGTGCCAAAATATGCATACATTTATTTAATTTTAATTACTAATTATAAAACAGAGATGGTTCATTTAAAATATTTACACAGATAGTTACAGAAATATTTCTATTCTATTTGTCGGTATGCTGTTTTTCATATACAGATTTTTACTACGAATAATTTTACAAGCAAACAAGCATGGCGGATGTTGGTCATAATCCTTAATAAACCGGGAGTGATCTCCCCTAAACTTTCTAGAATATTCTTACATAACACTACGGGGGATGGCAACTCGGAATATAGACATGGTTTTTAATCCATTTTTAACTACTTAAACTTTTAAAAATAGAATATAATCTCGTAGGAAAAAAGAATTGCGCACCATGTGAACGGCTAACAATGTCTGTATAATAGTACGGAATAATAGTACTTTATAAATTCATTTTCGTTTTTGCGAAATCGGAAATCGAGCAAATTAGTACTTCAGGTCAACGGAAATTACTCAAAATTTGTCAGAAGGCAGAGAATGATATATTTTTACACATATGTGAAATTTCATGTATCTATCAGAAACAGTACTCACGTTATAGGCTTTTGAAAACATTGAAAGTAGAATAAGTTCCACTTCCATTTACTGGAAATCGCTGAAAAGTTTATACAGAACAACAAATTTGATATAATGCTTATATATGAAATTTCACCAACCTAGCTGTAACGGTACTCAAGTTATTTTGTTCACAGACACACGTACACGCACACACACATACACACATATATACACACAGACATACGGACAAAATTGAAAAAAAAAGTATGTTTTTCTGACTCAAGGGGGTGTAAACATCGAGATTTGTAAAAAATATCGATATTTTGTTTTTTGCACAAATACAATACTTTCTCTATACTTAGTATGACGAGGAAAAAATTCAAAAATATGTAGGCCCTATTTGTAAAATGTAATCGAAATTACCTCATAAAAATTAGAATCTATAAAACTGACAATCGCTATCTGTAAAATTTAAATAATTTACTTAAATTTAATTAAAATGAAAAAAAAATCTACACCTACAATTGCTGAACCTAAGCAGATTTTTTAAAAGTTTGTTAGTTTATATAAACTAAAACATATTATGTTACCTTTCAAATATAAAAAAAATATCAAGATTCTCGGTCAAGAAATTTAAGTCAAATTTTAATAAAGTTAACTTAGCCGATAAACTTCTATGAATAATAGATCTTGGTCTTTTTAGAGTAACATGAATGTTTGTAATAATGGAATTTTTAGAATTTGAAATCGATTATATTATATTCTGCATATTAATGTGAATGTAGACGTCATTTAAATGTATCACTTTTTTATGAATTTAATTCTAAATATGTGCACTGTGCAGTGGCGGAACTAGAAAAAAATGGCCCCCCCGCAAAAAATTTTTTTAGGCCCCTATATATATATATATCTATATGTATATATATGTGTATATATATATATATATATATATATATATCTATATATATATATATATCTATATGTATATATATGTGTATATATATATATATATATATATATATATATATATATATATATATATATATATATATATATATATATATATATATATATATATATATATATATATATATATATATATATATATATATATATATATGTATATATATATCGGGTGCAGTGGCGTAGCGAGGTCGGGTGTCACCCGGTGCGGCACTTAACGGTGTCACCCCCACCCCCCTCCAGAGCCATAGAGACCCTTCCCAGGGACAAACTTTCAAATTTTCGATTTGCACCCCCCCCCCCTCGAGTTTTTCTCTATATATTTTGCTATTTTTTTGCCTTGGTGTCACCCCCCCTAAATTTTTTTACCGCCCCCCCCCCCCGAAAGAAATTAATTTTATATAATTTATATAGAAAATATATACTTTTAACAGTGCCCACCCCCCCCACCCCCTCCGAAAATTTCAAGTGCCCCCCCCCCCCCCGAAGAGAAACGTCTGGAAGAAACACTGCCAAAGACCCACCCATATTATAACCGAATATAACCCCTCCCCGTTACGGGCTAAACATGAAATTAAACATTAATACATTCAAAGGTGATATAGATCTTTTGGTTGTTTTTAGGCTTAAAAGCTAGATCATTGTATCCTAAATTTGATTAACTTTAATGTATTTAGTGTTAATAACTAATGTTCAATTAATACGTGTACTAATTATAAAACAATTAATAATATAAAGACGAGCCTTACCTTTTGTTGTGTGAATTAGACTCGTCAACAAAATACTTCATCAGGTAAATGAACAACTACTGACTAGTGTCTTTAACAAAATGTGCAGAAGTGGTCAGTTTACAGTTCAGTAGTTCATAGACGGTTCGTTAATCTATGCATTACATCTTATTGTAAGAGTAAGGGTGTGGTGAGGGGTAGAGGTGAGGGGTAGGGGTGAGAGGGGAGTGAGGGGGGAGGGGTGAGAGTTGGGAAGGTTCAAGGGAAGGGGACTAGAAAGTGCCGATAAACATCTACATCAATAGTGCCGACTTTTTCCGGTCGTCTAGAAGACCAGAATAGTCGCCGCAACATTTCCCCAGCCCGATTTCAAAGCGTGCCGGCAAAAACTTCAGATGCTTCGCTAAAGGGAGATAACTTAAACTTTCACAAGTTTATTGATACAGTTGTTAAAGTAAAAATGAACGCAATTATAAATGTATGACATCGAAATAAATAATTATATTTTTTGTAGAGTCCAGGCCAGTAGTTTAAACACACAATCATATATATATATATATATATATATATATATATATATATATATATATATATATATATATAATAATGTAAACAATATAACAATCCTTTTTTGTTCTCCTAATCGACGCCACTAAAAGTAAAAAGGTAGGCTACGTCTTTGAAGTTGTCTATATGTCTGGCGGTCTCTCGAGCTATAGTCTGTGCATTTTTCTCAAAGACGTTTGCCGACTATCGTGTTTTTTTGTAACTGTAGAACAGGGGTCTCCAAACTACGGCCCGCGGGCCGGATGCGGCCCGCAAGGTCCTCTCATCCGGCCCGCGGAGATCTTTTTGACCACGGAAAAAAATGTCTGTTAGAGGTGGCTGAGGAACTTTGTCCAGAAAATTCAAAATAATTTGAAAATGTAGCTTTGGGTGGAAATACCTTTGCCCACCGTGTTGCAGACATTGGTGAAAACATCGTGACTCAAATAGCGAAAAATGCATTTTTTAATTGAAATGGATGAGTCGCTAGACAGCTATTTCACCTCTCAACTGCTTGTGTTCATTAGGGGTGTGGATGAAGACATGAACATAACACAAGAGCTGGCTTTCCTTCATAATATAAACGGCACTGTTACCGGAGAGGATATATTCAATGAGTTAAAGAAAACATTTGCCGATTATAACTTGGACTGGACTAACGTCAGTTACCTGACTGTTGATGGAGGAAATTACATGAGTGGCATAAAGAAAGGTTTGGTTGGACAAGCGGATGAGAAAAATATTCTACAACCAATGCTCCTGCACTCTATTATTCATCAGCAAGCTTTGAGTGCTAAATATATGGACATTAGCAGTGTACTGAATCCTGTGGTGAAGATGGCGAATTTAATAAGGTTACATGGGCTCAACCATAGATATAGAATATGTGAAGAATAATTTGAGAACAAACTTGGACCTCGAGTGTGTTGTCGGCCCTCGACAGTGTTTTTTTTTTGGCTGGGGGGGGGGGGGGGGGGGCACCCGAAATTTGTATATATTTTTATATAAAATATGTTTTGTCGGGGGGGGGGGGGGGAGGGGTCCATAACACCGAAGATATGCCTTGAAGAAACTCTGGCCCCCGACTTGATATTTGATAGTCAATGCGGCCCTCGGTCTGAAAAGTTTGGAGACCCCTGCTGTAGAAGAAAGATAACTCGACCTCCACCTAATTTAAAAAAAAAAAATTATTTTTTTTTTGTTTTAATTTTTTTTTTACATTTTTTTTTTTTAAAATAATTTAGCCAGGATTTTTGGGCCCCCAATCGGTCTGCCCCCCTCCCCCGCATTGCGGTGTCTGGCGGCACTGTAGTTCCGCCCCTGCGTCTTTGAAGTTGTCTATATGTCTGGCGGTCTCTCGAGCTATAGTCTGTACATTTTTTTCAAAGACGTTTGCCGACTATCGTGTTTTTTTTGTAACTGTAGAAGAAAGATAACTCGACCTTCACCTTTTTTTTTTTTTTTTTTTTTTTTTTTTTTTTTAAATTTTTTATTTTAAATTTTTTTTTTTAAATAATTTAGCCGGGATTTTTGGGGCCCCATTCGGTCTGGGCCCCCCCGCATTGCGGGGTCTGGCGGCACTGTAGTTCCGCCCCTGGCACTGTGTAAAGCTTTGGTTGACTCGTCTTGTAAAGCAATGGGGTTTAGCCTCACTTTCAATATTGTATAACAAAAAAAGCTATGTTTATGTATTGGGTATTTTTTTAAATTCTAAGTCACTACATACTGTCGAGTGTTGTTCTATGTAAGTGCCAAACTGTATTGTAAACGTCGACTCGTTTGAAGAATGTAATACAAAATATTCCGATATTCAACTACTATAAAAGAGAGTTAAAATGTTTTAATGCTTTGATAAGTATAATTTAGTGTAAACATACATAGATATGTTAAACGTCTATTCTATAAAAAAATTATTTAGACAATTGAACGTTGCGCTTTTCCTAATACATTTGCTTTTAAATTTTGCAGCAGCTGTTCACGATGGGAAAGCTTTCAAAACTTGGGGAAGACGCTGTGTTCGATCAATCCCCCAACCTTGATGTCAACAAATTACGACTCAGGCGAACGGGTAGCATTATGGATTCAAAAATTCGCAATATCATGAGGGCTTTTAAAACATCTACCTGTTATTTACCTGAAGAAGAGTTGGACAAATTGAAAAAGTACCTAGGAAAAAGACATTGCTCACAAAAGTGTATTCAGTCGATGATTTTGGAATCCGTGACAATGAAAAGTTTAGAATTAGTCGAACTATTCAGCGCTTATAGTTTAGAAAATGACGAAAAGTCGATTATTCAAGCTGTTATATTAGACGCTTCAGATATACTACAGCTGTTAAAGGATCGCGGTTTCAACCCATTTGTAACAAGACGACTTTTAGAACCTCCATTTTGCATAAATACAATGGATATTGCATTAAAACACGGAAGTCTGAAATGCGCGGAGATATTGAAAGACATTATGTCACCAGATCATTATTATTGTGTATCTGAAGCTATAGCAAGAAACGATTTGGGATGCTTGAAATTTCTGTCAAACAATTATCCAAGGGAATTTCGCAATGTTTTAACCTTTAGCAGTGCAGGATTTTTGCACTCTGCAGTTGAAAATGGAAACAAAGAAGTTGTGAGTTTATTGGCAAGGGAAAGGGCGGACTGCAATGCCGTTGCACAAAACAGGACGCCATTAATGTGTGCATTGTGCCCATTTATCATTGACGAACTTGTGTTCCATGGAGCTGATGTAAACTTTGAAATCAGCAACACTTTAAATGGTTCTACAGCTTTATTAAACGCAGTTTCAGCAAGCTTTTTCACAAGAGTGGAAGTTTATTTAAGAAAAATTGGCAGTTGTTTTGACCGAGTAGCGTCAATCCAACGTGTTTTGATTCTGGTAAAAACTCTGGTAGATCATGAAGCGGATATCGAGGCTACAAACCCTCAAGGCAACACAGCCCTGATGCTGGCGGCAGCAAATGGTACATACACAAACATTCTGGAATATTTGATCAAAGCAGGAGCTTCTATAAGACACACAAACAGAGAAGGAAAAACAGCGTTGCATTTGGCCGTTAAGAACAATTGTATTGATAACATCAACATTCTTATTCAGTCTGGGGCTGATTTGAATAGCAAATGTAACATGGGGTTCACTCCCTTGCACGAGGCTGTCATTGCGGGGAATGTACATGCGATAAGTATTTTAATAGTAAAAAGAGCGGATCTATCGCTAAAAGACAACAAGGGAAATAATCCACTCCACACTGCCGTATCTCTGGGAAGCCAGGACGTTATGCAGATGATCTGCTACAGTGTGAGCGACTTTAACGACACGAACAACAACGGTGACACAGCCCTCATGCTAGCCTGTCAAAACCTTGACCTTGATGCTATACAAATACTGGACAAAATGGGGGCTGATCTAACAGTCGTTAATGAAACTAATAACAAAACTGCCCTTGATTATGTGTTGAACAGGAAATACGATTCTAAAAACAGGGACAAAGTTTCCATTTGCGCCGAATATCTGCTAGATAGGGGTGCGGTGACGCTAAAAACGACCCCATATAATTTTCACTTGTTACTATTTGAAAGAAATATTTCCCTGATACACAAACTCATTGCGACCGGTCTAAAACCTTCTGAGCTGGAGCTAAACCTACGGGACGTAACCCATCACGGTAGTACTGTCATTCTCTCCCCTCTCATGTTCGCGGTCGTATGTAACGAAATGGAGATCGCTCAGTATTTTTACGACATCGGTTTTTTGACGGCTTCTGATCTACAGCCAGGTTCCTGTTTTGAAACCGTTGAAAGCTACGTCAGACAGAAGGGCAACATGAAAAGTTTACAGTTCCTCCACCACTTCTCCCCACGAACTGCCACCCTCCAGAACTTCTGCTTCCTCGCTGTCTCGTCTGCTATAGGCTTCGGTCCCAAACGTGAGTCCAGAATTCGAGGCACCGGTCTGCCTAACGTTTTCCAGAAAAAACTTCTTCTAAAACCTGACACGTTAGCCAACAGTGACGTGGGTAGGGGCTCCGTCAGAGACGACTACAGATTTGAAAAAGTTTTGTCTGACTTTGATAGGTTCTGTGTTGCGAAACCACAGTAGATGGTTACATTGTACTGGGTACATCTTCATTATTAATTGTGTAATTATTAATTATATGACGTCGATTTGTTTTTTCTTTTTCTCCAACTGGTTTTCTCAATAAGTCGATGGTTTTATTCATTTTACCCAAGACTTTATTGTTTTTATCTACAGTTATTGTATTCTACATACATTAAAAACTTGATGATAAAAATAATACTAAATTTATTACTTCAAGAAATGTTCAACTTATGAAAGTTTTGCGGAGGAACTTCTTTTAAGAATAAACCAGATGTTAAATTAAAAGGATGTAATGTAATGCATATTTTAAAGTATACTTTTTTAATATTATAATGATTGGCTTGTACTTTTTAAACTTTAACTCACAAAATTCCATTATTCAGATTTCTTTCTATGCTTTTGATCAGATTAATGATTTTACTTAAAAATATACTAAACTCCTCTCTGTATAGACCATTGTATCAGTATTAGGGTTATAATTATATATATATATAGCTTAGAATACATTTGTAATGTAAATGTTATCAATGGTGATGGAAATTTAATTTATTTTTGTCGGCATGGTTGAGGTATTAGTCCAATTTCCCAATTTTTATATGGAAATGGTGAATGTATTGCACACAATTTTTTTTACGAATTGTAAGTTTTGATACATGGTGCTTACCTTTTTTCCTTAAAATTTTTTGGGTTGATATTACATAGGTTTGCAAGTGTGTTTTTACATAATAAATAATAATATGCCTAAGCAGTAAGTTAATTAAAGTAAGAATTTATAACATATGTTAAGATTTATTTGAATGAGTGGAAGATGAAAGTATATTTTCAACTTTCAATGCTGTAGAAATAATAGAATGTATTGAAAAGTCGTTTTATCTTTGACATTAATGCATGTTTAAAAAATGCCTCGATGGTATGTTAGTAAGGTTTTGATTATGTGCAGTTTTGAGAGACTATTATGTTATACCTAATTTATTTGTTGGTTGTTAATATTTAAATCTTTCTATTTGAAAGTTAATAAAACGTTGTCAATTATAATTTACATATCTGTATCTTTATGGAATGGAGAGGAAAAGGGAATAAAAGATATAAGCAGCAATTGATTGTTGATGTTCTTTTTAAAAATTAATATATACACCCAAATATACACTTGTAAATATACGTGTGAAAATATTTATGAAACATGTTTCTAATGTATGATACGCAGACATATATAATTTTATTTCAAGAATGGGACACGCATTACAAATTGTTATCCTATAAAATATTTCATGGAGAACGAAAGTTACCTTCAGTCTGCTTAACAAATGTGGAGCGGAAACTGTAGTAACAAAAATATGACTAGCTCGGTCATCTGCAGGAATAGCAAGAATTTGGTGCACATTTTACAACTGTATAGTTCTAAAAAAAATACCCTAACAAATACTTATTTTTACATACTAAAAATAATTAACGTTCAAAATTCACTCATTATTTTTCTTTATATTAAATGTATAAAACTCGGTTGTCCTTTTGTCGGTGTTTAACTAACAAAGTAGGTCCTATGTTCAAGAGAGATTTACATGTTTCCTAGAATTTCCATAGGAGTAATATGCGGAGTATTCATCTATTAATATAATGTATGGCCAACAGAGATAACATTACTTTTAACCCAACATTGCAGATAACATTTCTATGCTGACTAGTCTTGAATATTGTAAGCTGGTCTACTGAAGGTGACTACCTACAGGGGCGGACTGTCTGTGTCAAAGCGGCCGGGGAGATAAATAAAACGGCCCAACCCTGATTTATATTTCCATTGTGCATTTTTCCCATCAAAACCTAAGGTTCTACAAAATGTATGGGTTACTTTACAAATAGCAATACACACAACTAAACCAAAGTCGAAGTAAATTAAAGTTCAATGCGTAATTAGACATACAGCAAAATATAATTTTATTACGGTGATTGTGGTTATATTATAAGCAAAATCTTTCATATTTCAAAACAAACAAATCTTCAGGGTGTAAACCAACGATCTTCACAATCTGTTCTTGATGTTACTAAGTTGAGAGATTCATTTCTCACAACTTACTTGGGCAGACGACAGACTACAGGTGATGCGTACATTCGAAAATGAAAAGTTGTTGTTCTGCAATACAAACATGACATTCTTTTAAAGATTTTAATAATGTAAGTTTCTCACTCTTATCCACAACATAAATCGGACCAAGTGGGAACTAGCCGGCCAAACGTCAAAAAGAGCGCACGACAAAAGAGCGCCGACATAAGAGCGCAGACAAAAGAGCGCCGACATAATAGCGCCGACATAAAAGCGCACTAATTTGCCGACATAAGAGCGCCGACATAAGAGCGCACTAATTTCCCGACAAAAGAGCGCCGACATAAGAGCGCAAACTAAAAATCGAAAAACCATATTTAATAAATAAAAACAAGAAAATTAACTCAGATCAGAAGGCATCGTTTGATGTTAAATTAAAAAACGAATTGTTCAGTTTCTTTAACTAAAAACTGGTATAATCAACGAGAAGTCCAATTATTCAAAACGCAATCTAATAACACACACACAGATTTTAAATGTTAGGCCTAAAGTGAGAATATAAACTGAAATGAAATGTAACAAAATGAAAATAAGTTCATATTAATAAGCTGCATTTATAATGCTATGTTGTGGGCTGTACCTCGTAGGTAGTCCATCATTGAATCATTAGCATTGGTTGAAGCAATTGTCTGCAATCTTCGGTTCAGCTGAACATATTTGTCCTTTGAAGCTTCTAGTTGTCGTTTGAAGAGGTCCAGGAATTGTTATCTATGCAACGTTCTGCGGATTTTGGTATGGCAGCTGCGTTATTGTGTTCTGATAATGACAGAACAACATCGTTCAGCACTTTCATCCGTCCTCGGCAGCCATCTTTCTTGCAGCATCTCCATGTCGTACTTAAATCAGCATTTGCTCTGTCCTGTCTATATCTGTAGCCTTCGACCAATATAATAACCTTCCCTTTCTGTGATTCGATCTTCTCCATGTTACTTGGATTAGAAATATTGTCAAACTGCATTCATAACATATTAACCATAATATATAAATAAAGACGTTGTTCTCTCACCGATTGTTTAATTAAAACAAGTGTTAACCATGTCATATTTGTTTAGCGTACAACATGTGTTTTTTTTAATTGACTGCGCTCTTATGTCGGCGCTCTTTTGTCTGCGCTCTTTTGTCGGCGCTCTTATGTCGGCGCTCTTTTGTCGTGCGCTCTTTTGACGGGTCACCCGTGCCTCCATACCATTAGTATGTCACGTTGTTTATTTCACAAATGACGTGGGCATAGTTAAATTGCACTATTTTACACTCTATACCAAATGTGTCTGGATTTTCCAATTGCTATGTCGTCGACCCGTCATTCTTGCAGGAGAAAAAGAGTATTGGTCAAGGTTTTTCCACCACATTGAAAAAGTCGCTGACCCAAAAAATTAAATACATCCAGCAGAAAAAAAAGATTTGAATTCATAGACACATGCGTATACGCATACTTACAAGTGTATATGGAATATATATATATATATATATATATATATATATATATATATATATATATATATATATATATATATATATATATATATATATTTTTTTTTTTTTTTTTTTTTTTTTTTTTCTTGGGGGTGGTCGGGGGGTGACACCATCAGGTGCCGCACCGGGTGACACCCGACCTCGCTACACCACTGTGTACACAGGAATATGACGTTAGTTAAACAACATTTGATTCTATTTTAAGATCAGACCTAGTTTTAACCGACAGGATTTTCCGGCTGTCCGGCGGGCCATTCCACCCCTTACGTTAGATTTTATTCTGTGAGAACGGTAATACACCTGCAAGTTTAAAAGAAAACCCCACCCCCATATCCTATCCCTCTAACTTAACAATTAATTGGAAAGTCAGGTAATGCGTCTTTTTAATGCTCGCTAGTTTTAATTTTAACAGGATTGGCATTACACATCCTATACAGTAAAGTGAAACAATTACTAGGGTATGCGGAAGTTCAGTTTACTCGTTGGATATCCCCAATACACTATTAAAATATGGGTGGGTAATCTAGGAAAGGATACGGTTCAGTTAGTTATTTACTACGTGTTAAATTTAAACGTTGGATTTACAACGAATCCTAAGTTTATTAAATACAAATGTTATTAAGACTAAGTTCAAAAGTGTTGAGTGCACATATACATCCGAATCAAACCTTCTTCAAAGTCTATTTTAAGTTTTTGAGGATGATGATTTATGAAAAATTTTTCCACACTGAATACAATAATTTAACGATAAAATATTATCACATGATCTATTAAAAGAACGTTACGGCGGTTATGGTCTGCGCCTTAAAAATTCTTAAATCTCCAAAATACATTGTCTTTTCATAGACTAATTTACATTTTGACAGTCTTTATATAATTGAAAATTATACTTCCATAAGCTAATTTTTATAGTTAAATATTCTTAAAAAGTAAAGTTCCCTTTCGAACCTGAATGTCAATGGGACAATTGAAGTAGAGTTACCTGTTTCTGTGACCTCGGCATATGAAATGATAACGTGGTCAGCACTATGCCCAATCGCCTTTAATTTACCTCATGTGATTTAGGTACCTAAAATAGAAGGGTGGACTCAGGGACGTTATAAGTACTTGCAGCCTGATACTTTAGATTTAACAGTCGTACCATTCGACTTTTTCTTAAGAATATTCCCACTGAACGTTTTCGATACATTTCTCTTTTATCTCTATGAATTTTATATTGAGATATAATGTATGTTGCGTTCATACGTATATGTATTTATTATTTAACATATATATATATATATATATATATATATATATATATATATATATATATATATATATATAATGACATATAACTCATGATTTACATATTTATGGAAACAAAAAAAATGTGTTGATTTTAATGTTTGTTTGTATCAGAAATACTGCCTAAAATGATTATTTATCAAGTTAAAGAAGTGAGTATTAATACTAACGAGAAAAATGGCCCGTTGAGGAAGGGTACAACGGGCGCTAGGCTGATAGTGCTGTCTCTTTTCTCTAAACTAAAACAACCCACCCCACACACACCACACCCCACCCCCACCACTCAGACGTTCTTACGCGGGGGGTGGGGCTTCGCCCCTACCCGAAGAATTGTATGAAAGAAACTCTTCACGCAAACCACTTAGATAAGACAAAATTTTCCTTTTTATTCAATGTTTACTCTCCGGTTTGAGATTATTTTCTACTCTGTGCTAAATGTGTCGACGTCATACTTCGTTTTTCGAAATACTATGCATGTTTTTAATTTCCTTGTGTTTTCTCTAGAGCGTTCTTGTCAGACAGAGCGTTCTTGTCAGATAGACAGACAGCGAAACTATTAATACTAATAGTTTCGCTGTCTGTCTATCTGACAAGAACGCTCTGTCTGACAAGAACGCTCTAGAGAAAACACAAGCAATTTAAAAACATGCACAGTAATTCGAAAAACGAAATATGACGTCGACACATTTAGCGTAGAGTAGAACATAATCTCAAACCAGAGAGTGCACACAGTAATGTAATGACGTCATTGATTATCGCGTAAACATTGAAAAAAAGGAAATGTCTAATCTAAATGGTTTGCGTGAAGAGTTTCTTGCATACAATTCTTCGGGTAGGGGCGAAGCCCCACCCCCCGCGTAAGAACGTCTGAGCCCCCCCCCCCCCCCCCCCCACCCCCCCCCCCCCCCCCTCCGCAACTCAAAAGAAATTTCCTCATCGATACTCTATAATAAAATTACCGCCTAATTAATGTGTCTAATCTAAAAAGTGGTTTTCTTGCAATTTCTTTAATGCAATTCTTCGGGTAGTGGCTAAGCGCGACACCAGTGTTTCTTTCAGACTTTTTCCTCCCCGGAGAGGGGTGGGGGGTACTTGAAATTTTCGGGGGCGGGGGTAGAATTTTCTGGGAGGGGGGCGGACACTGGAAAAAGTATATAATTATATTTCGTTGAATGGGACGGTAGACATGTTTTTTTTTTGGGGGGGGGGGGGGGGGTGGGGGGGTGGAGG